GGGGTCGGGACTAAGAGAATGGGCCCCTCTTTCTTCTTTTGGATCTAGATACATGGGGCCACGGTCATCTAGGTAGCCCAGATGTTACCAAGAAAATCTATGTAAGCCCAAAAACAAACGGCTATGGGCCACCTTCAAAGCAGAAAGCTTTAATGATTTTAACGGGACCAAAGTATTAACTTAGGATTTCATCTTTATCACAATTTCTAATTGAGAACCAAATACACTATTTAAGGTGGCAATTTTCCCTTTCCTTCCATGGGAATCCCATTTAATGTACCCTTAAAAATACCATTATTTTTTTTATAAATTATTATAAATTGGGTTCAACCCATACTTTAACAAATTTTAATATATTTACTTAATTTATCATTTATTTTAATAACAAAACCCAATATTTATTATACAATTCAAATCTAACTTAACTCCTCAACACATTTGCCATTTAATATTGTAAAGGAAGAATCATATGGTAAATTTTTATAAATTATTATTAATTGAGATAAGGGAAGATTTTTCTTCTTCTTAAAAAAATCACCATGGGGATGGGAAGTGCTTTCTGATTACATGGGGCCTTATTGTCGATATTAATATCTGTATATTAACAATTAAAATGTTCATACTCATTGAGAATTTAGAACAAAATCATCCTTATTGCGAATACTAAAAATTCTATTATTTCTTTTATGGAAAATGATGTGTGCACACCCGGATCCAACACCTGGGTGTGCACACATCATATAAAAAAAAATGCTCATCACCCAGTCCTTTTTTTTTTTTATGTGGGGGGTGCACATCCGGGTGTTGGATCCGGGTGTGCACTAATCATGGTCCTTCTTTTATTTGTTGATTAAGAATTAATATTGTTGGCTTTTTGGGCATGAGGGAGAAGAGAGACAGAAAAACTTCTCTATTTGGATAGTAAAATATTAGAGGGGAAGTGAGGGGTTTTTCATTCCGTTATCATCATCATCATCATCATCATGATTATGATTATGATTATTATCATTTTTTTACATTTTAGTCTAACCAAATGAGTGGAGGGGAGTTTGTTTCTTTAAATTAAATATGAGGTAATGCATGGATGATTCTTTTGTTTCAAAATTTCTTGGATTGCTTTGCTTTTGTTTATTATTTGAGAAATTTAGTAACAAAATAACGACAAGTTTTATAAGGATTCTTATTTCAAGATTTTAAATGATTTTCTCTTATTATTTATAAAAATATTAAATTTTAGTTAATTTTTCATATTCAGTTTAATTTATTTAATACACAACTTGGTATATTTTGCTAACATAACCTCCTCTATATTTTATTAAACATTAATGCTGAGAGGACTATTTTTCTCAAACCTATTGGTAAAGAAGGGATTTTCAAAGATCATAATAACAAATAGATTATGAGGTTTGCTAGGAATATAAGTATTATTAATAGAGTAAGTGTTATGTTTTGAGACAGAGGATAACCTTGAATTTTATTATTACCAAGGGGTTTTCTAAAATTAATATTGAGTTTGACTTTTTTATACTATTCAACTATTGTTTGCCAATGTCTCTAACATTTTGAATTGCAAAGAACTTATGAAGATTGTTCTAGCTCAACACTACAACATTTCAATAAGGATAGCTATATGTGTACTAACCAACTTCTTAAGATGGGAACATCATTTTCTTTAACTTTTGTTGTTTTTTTTATAAATATTCATATTTTGTAGTTACATTTTATCTTACTTATGTACTAGGGGTTCACTTTCTCAAACCACCCTATTGAACTCTATTTTATTGTACTAATATAATTTTGTCATTTTTTCTCAGAAAAAAGAAGAAAAAAAATAAATAATAACTTTTTCTTTTTCAAAACATTAGTGCTACTCTTTTTATTTCAAATGTTTAAATAATAGTATATTTGGGTTGAGGGAAGGGAACGATTATTTTACCAGTTAGATTGCAATATTTAAAAAAATTATAATTTGATTAGTTTAAAAATCTTTATCTTCACTTATGAAATGACTCAAGTCGAAATCTGTCATTAATCTAATAACTCTTCAGGATAAAATTCACATGCTCTTAAAAACTCAAATTTAAGTTATTAGTAATAGTTAATTTTTATAATTATATACTAAAGTTATTTATGAGTCCCTATCAGACTTGAGATTTGGGGCATTACATCTCCTGTATTTTTTCTTTATTTTTGATATTATAGAAATCCTTTTATTTATATAAACATTGTAAATAATGCTCTAAATTAATGTGTGAAAATAATAAGCACAAATACAAATGAAAAGTCCTTTTATAATTTTTTACTAGAAAACATAAATATATATTAAAAAAATTACACAAATATATTTAATATTTATTTTTAATTTATATTCAAATTTTAAAA